TGCGAGGAAAGGGCGGAATAGATCGGTCACCACGGCGTGGAAGTAAACGCTGTTGGGCCAATATTAGTCGGAACGCATCATGGGATTCAGGTCTAGGCCAGACGTACTGCAATAGCATGACGCTGTGGTTACTTTCTTCGCCTCTTGCCATATCCAGAGAGAGTGCGCCAGACCAGCAAAGTAGACGGTGATATGTCCCTTCTGCGAATCTCAGTGTCGACTCAAGCGTGGCGCCGTGGTATTGAGGGCCGTAGAATCTTTCCAGTATGTCCTTGAAGATAACCCACATATCGCTCGCGGCACTGAGGAGCTGGGCATGGAATGCGGTCTTGGCTGACCTCGGATCGTCGCTTGGTAGAAATAAGACCAGATCTCTAGGCATCGGCAGCAACGGCGGTGTGTGGATTTCGTGGACGCGGTAGTGGAGGGAATATACCCTACGTGGGTTAGAGGCGTCTCTCAATAGCAACGTTCATAGGGTAAAGGCTACTCACGATACCCAATTGTAAACGCCCCAGGCCGTGTATGACGCCGCTCTCGTCCACTCTGTATGGCCGCCAAGCCAGACGGTCGCAGATTCGGCCTCGGACTGAACATTGAAGAGGCCCATCGCTTTACCCAACCTGACACTTTCTTGTAGGAACCGAAGACTCATGTCGTCTTTGCCGTACGTCACGGCGCACATGCTTAGGATTTGAAGTGCAGCGACTGTTGTGACGCTATTGGGTTGCTGCTGATCAGAGAAGTACTGCTGAGATTCCGCGAAAAGAGCTACACTGAAAGCGGCGGCATCGGTATGGAGGGTCGTATATGCTTGCTGTTTGTGTCAGCACCTGATGATTGCAATGGGGATGATGGGCAACATACACATGCCCAACTCAACACGGCAGTGACAAGAAACGGAGAGCAAAAGAAATGTTGAACATTAACCAAATCTCGTACAAACAGGTCGGCGTCGAAAAGGGGTATCGTAGCGTAATCAATGTCAAGATAGTGCGATATAACACTGATGGCAAGGTCGTTCGGTATAGGGATGTTTGTCCACTTGCTGACATCAAGCAGACGTAATCGTTCGTCGAAGAGTGGTTTGGGATTCACAGCCCCTGTATGATCAGGTGAACCGGTTTTTGATCCTGAACTTGCGTCCTCATCTCGCTCGGGAGTCAGGTATGGACCCCCGAAAGGGGAGACCTGTCTTGAAGACCTGTGACTTATAAGTCAGTACGCCATGGTGGCATTCGGTCGAGCCTCGAGCCATCTTCTGATGGCAGTGCCGGTTGAAGGTACGTTCACAGTCTCCCCTGACAATGAGGATCTGTATTAAAGAATTGATAAGATTGACATACGCATCTTGCTGCCCCTGCTGCCCTTGCAACCATGCCTTCGTCACAGGCTGGAGTAAGGCTCCGAGAGTCAAGTCCGTGTACGGCACCGGGAACAGGGCAGGATATGCCACAGGGTGTCGAATCGTCAATTCGAAACCAAGGCTGTTCTGCGTGGGTGGGAGAAGGCCTCTAAGGTGTTGCTGATCGGATGGGCGTGCAAGATTCAAAGCACGTCCGGGCGTCTCGTTGCGTAGTTTGCGAAACAATTCGAGGGCTTGTTCTGGCGGAAGTGTTCGAAGAGATTCGAGTATCTCGGCAGGGCCACCTCGTTTGGACTGCTCCACTTCGGCAAGAGTTACACGATGTCGGACGGTATAGGTGTATTCGCAATTTTCCGTTCGGTGATCACACATAACACATCGTGGGAGCCGTCCATCGCACTATCAAGACGGCAATTAGCACCTTGCGGAGGGATCCAAAGCATGTAAACTGATTGGCACGTCGAGAAACAACGCCGCAGGGCAAACGCAAGACAGGGGAGGCCAAGGCCCACCTTTGTCTTTCGCCTCCGGCACGGATCACAGGCGCTGTTGGTCTTGCGTGGCCGCGCAGGACGGCGAAGGCTGATGTTAGGTCGACCAGGCCCAAGGCCGGGACCGCGTACGGTACCGGTACCGGGCTCGGCATTGGGATCAGGATTGGAATCGGGGTTCTGCCGCAGGTTGGCCGGTGACCCTTCGGCTAATGGCCGCGGCCGCAGCGGGCGAAACGGCGACATGTTGGATGGGTTCGATTGGGTGGCATTTCGACGGCAGTCGCCACGCGTATCAGGTCATTTCCGAACCTGCTCGAGGGAACACCCGCGGACGGTGGATGGGAGGTGGCAATTGCAGGAATGGTGGCGGGGTGTCGTTGAAGAAATGCGGTGAAGGGGGGGAGGGAAATCGCAACAAGGGCGGCGGTGCTCAGGCCGGAGGCTTCCGAAGGAAGCTTAGCTGTAATTGGTCTATTCTCAGGGGAGCTTTTTGTTGGCTCGCTTCGGTCTTGCACCAGTCCAAATGCATTCTACGGTCTATGGCGGTCTGGACCGTCGATCCCCCGGTGAGTGCGGGCTGATCGGTGAGCGCCTCACCCCGGCAAGGTGAGCGGTGAACACTTCCACATATCGCGGCTCGTCCATTAGGGTTGTACGCTACTGCACTTTATTGTGCATACCGGCTGCTTGGTCCTCCAGCCCTACGATCAGCTAGGCTTGTCTATGCTTCCCCAGACCATGTTCCTAAGCTGCAGAGTCAGAAACTAATTTCACTTCGCAATTCTAGTTTCCTCATTCATGCACGTACTCAGCGTTCTCGAATCGCTACATGAACCTCACCAGTGATTTTGAACTTCGAATCATGCATATTCCAGGATGTCAGCTCTACACACGACCCCATACTTCTCTGCTGACAGTCAAGGTTCTATCAATTGTCAACATATTGTTCCCATTTGGCACGCCGCCGATAGCCGAACGGTTTCATCTCAAAAAACCAAGTCTGGCACGGGCAGGTAAGCTTTTGGTGTTTACAAACTACCTATTGGTGTGTTCGTTAAATGCCCCACGGCATCCGAACTTGTCTAAGCTCTTTGAAATCCCCAGAAATCTCGTTTCGAAACCAATACTCCCCCAGACCCGCTGCCAACACTTGACTGTTGCGGATGTTGGTTCAAGCGGTTAGTTCAGGTCAGCTGCTTAAACCTCGAAGTCTAAGATTGATCTCTAAGCCTTGACAAGTTAATCTGTTCTACACAGGATCTGTGTTGCCCCCGGTTATTTATCATTAGATCTATATGATTGATATAACGAGTACGTCCCCCCCGCATTATCACTCTTTGTGTTTTCAGCTGGACCAATATCGCACCTCTCGTTGGACGACCTAGTTGAAACGGCTGGATGTAATGGAATGGCTTCACGCCTGAACTATCACGGCCATCTAGTCAACCTTTGAGTGGACCACCGCAATGGCCCGAATAGGCACACAAAGAGTAAAGACGGGTTGTACAACCTGCAAGATCCGACGAATCAAATGCGACGAGGCGCGTCCATCCTGCGCGAGATGCATCTCCACCGGCCGCAAATGTGACGGTTACATCTCTCCGCCGACGACGACGTACTCCTGGGCGCAACTCTTGAGATCATGCCCCGTGAACAACGCAACTTCGATTCGGGCTTCACAGCCGACCAGAGCCAGCATTGTCTACGCCGAGCGGACGATGGACTTTTACCGCAAGGTTACGGCGCCGGCCTTTGCTGGGTCACTCAACTCATACTTCTGGACTAATGTCGTGATCCAAATGTCGGACCAAGAACCTGTGGCCAGCCATGCTGTGCTGGCGCTCAGCTCCGTGTACGAGACGTTCAGCAACGGATCATGGGAAGCAAGCTCCTTTGCTGTGTGGCACTACAACGAGGCGATCAAGCTCCTCCGCACAACGACAGACCGCGCGCTGATTCTCTTCATCTGTGTGCTTTTCATCTGCATAGAGCTGATCCGTCGGAACCCAAAAGACGCCACTACTCACTGCCGGCACGGGATCAACATCCTGAATGAGATACATAACGAGTCTGACTTTCTGCGGAACCACATCACACCAGTCATGCGGCAGCTTAGCATCGCGCCATACCGATACGGTATCAACCCAACGACCTTTCCAACAGTGCGCCAACCCATATCGACCTCAACCAACCGGATTCAGAATGTCGCAGAAGCTCACGCTCGACTCTTGACGATTCACGTACGCCTTGTCCGGCACATGGAATGTGCGTGTATTACCGACCGCTGGCTTGAGACCGGAAAGGAAGGTCCAGAACCAGACGCGAAATGGCTTCGACAATTCATCCTCATTGATCTAGATGCATGGTACAAGGCATACAGGGAGATGAAGAAAGAGGAGAGGTATACCAGCAAGGAGGAGGACATGATACGGTTGCTAGACATTCGTTACCTTGTGGCCAGGATTGCCCTTTTGGCTTCTGAAAAGAAAGACGAAGGCGAGTGCGTGTATGATGCGCACACGGACAAATTCCGCGCCATCGTCGTTCTGGCATTACAAGCGGAAGGCTCTTCAGAGGCGTCCAAGTCCTCAGCAGGCTGGGGAACCGAAAGCGTCCTCGAGCTCGGCTATAGCTCTCTCCTCTTCATGGTGGTCATCAGGTGCCGCCACCTAAGACTGCGACTCGAGGCCCTGAGGTTGATGAAGAAGCTCATGCAGCCCGAAAGGAATATTTGGGAGAGGAATTTGGCATGGTCTATCGCAAAGCGGGTGGTTGAGATTGAGCATAATATCGCTCTCGGCGATATCATCGAGTTGGACGCCTTCGATACCTCTGATGAAGGCAGTGGTGGATTCGTGCCCGAAGATAGACGAATAGTTGCGATGAACTTTCGAGAACCGCCGGAAGCCACGATTCCGCCACGGAAAAAGGTGCATTTCTACCTGAAGAATCAGAAGACCGGTGAAATTATGAAGAGGGAAGAGCATGTAGCAGTATGATACCACTGGGAGATGCGGGCTTTGATCAAATGTGTACACATTTTCGATTAGTCTGGACTTTTGAGGCCGCTGCCTTTCCATTTCAGTACACATGGACGTTCAAATTGAGCAGCATTCAACATAGTCAATAATATGGATCATCTATAAGAGACTCTTGATGTCTTGTGCTGTAAGCATCCGATCCAACTGCATGACGCCCTCAACCGGCTTCAACCAAGATGCGCGCGTGTCGATAAACTGCTCGACCTGCGGCCTGAGCTTCGTCTCCACGAGGCGGAAATCATCGACAGTACCGAGCCTGAGAATGCTCATACCTGGTATACCGGAGCTGACGCGGTACATGAGCGTGCCACAGGTGCCGCAGAAGTGATTTGCCATATCGTTGCCAGTCGCGATGGTTCGAGACTGGCTGAAAGACTTCAGGTTCTCCTTACCGCGGATGTGGCGGAGGTGGCTGTCGGCAACGGAGAAGTTGGAGCAAAACATTGAGGAGGAGATTTTACGGCAGTCTGTGCAGTGACAGATGAAGCGATTGAGGAGGCCGCGGCCTTGGGTTGGCTGATAGGGGCTGTTAGTGCGATGATTCTTGGACTTTGGGTTGGTGTTATGGGATGAATTGATGTGGAATCTTACAAATGAGAGCTGAACGGCGCCACAGAGGCACGTTGCCGTTGCTTCATTCTCCGTTGACCAGCCGTCCTGAGCTACGCCGGCAAGAGGGATGAATGACGGTGAGGTCTTGTCATCTCTGGCGATGGAAGACATGATGTGTGATGTAAATGAGGTAATTTCGATGACTTACTGTGTAATAAATGGTCGAAAACAATATGATTATGAAAGAAGAATTGAATTCAAGCGGATGAGGGGGAAGCGTTGGATATATAGATCATCTGCGAGTTTCGTATAGCATCATGACCTAAGTAAGCCCCTTGGGCTTGGCGGTAGTCTCGAGGCTTTCCCGTCGACCATGATTAACAAACACCTGAATTTCGCCAGTCCAGACCCTCAGATTACTGCCAATCTACGAGGTTCACAGAAAAGCCCGCTGATCGTGTGGACGTGTTATCACTGCCGGTGACAGGGTGTGATCCAGTTTATGCTGGCACTCAAGACCAAGCAAGACGCATGTGATTACTACATCACTACATCACTTACCTTACTTTGGTCTTCAGTGGCTCCTCAAGTAGGTACCATGGCGTGCGGGGATGCATCGACTCACCCTGGCGCGCAGCAAACGGGAATAAGACGAGGGGCATTCGAGTGTAGTGCCAGTAAGCGCTAGGCACACATGTTTCGGTATGTGATTGCGAAGCTTTGCTTACTTCAGTCGGCCTAACTTCAGTCCCTCAGATTCTGCATCCCCAGGCTTAAACCCGGGCCGCTGGTTTCACTCAATGGAGGAAAGACATTGGGATACAACCTCACTTCACTGAGGAGGTATTCATGTTCATAATAGGTGAAAGTGAGTCACCCCGCAATTGCTTGGTAATATGAACTCATCTATCTTGCTGTATCATCCAGTGAGAGAAAGCAACCCTCTATGACTATTATCAATCCATCGCTACTATTTTGAGAAGTACACTACCACTGAAAAGGGCCCGTAATACAACTCAATCGACGCGGCGAACGCTGAAGGCGTGTGTGACCTGACCCGTCTCAACACCCATGGTGTTGGTACGCTTCAAGTGATGGAAGCTCACCAATTTACGTCGCATCTCTGGCGTCCCAATTCGAAGCTGATTCAGTATCTCAGGAACAGCAGCATAGAGGATTTCGAGGCTCCCGTCCTCGATTTTAACTGCAATGCCAACGGCCCCCTCCGCGCCAAGCTTCTTCGTGGACCCTGATGCGCGGATACCGATGGTGTAACATCCGTCTGCGCCAACTTTGCCGATAAGACTGCCTTCGAACGCTTCCATCAGGATAGTGCAGAAACGCCCCTCTCCGCCGACCATCTCAGGGTACGTCGCCATGGCGTTGTAGATATCGGACATATGTTTCACTCTCACCGGTTGGACGCTTCCGTCCTCTTCATTAGCATCCGCGGCGGCGGCAAAGGCAGCATACATGCGACCCATCGAATAGAGAGGTTGCCCGGGTGCAGGAAGATTGCAGCCGTCAATGGCCCACTTGATCTCGTCACCGTCAAGCCCGCTCAAGTCTTCAACAACCTGCTTCACCTTTTCCTGGATCGGATGGCTAGGGAGGTGATAGTCTTCGAAACTCGCACCTAGAGCCTCCGCGCCGCCCAACATGCCCGCATGTTTACCAGAGCAATTGTTGTTAATCTCGGTTGGCGTATATCCAACCCTGATCCAGGACCTATCCACGACTGGACAGATTGAAGGGTGACCGCCGCACCGCAAGTCCGACTCTTGCGCCCCAACCTTGGATAACATTGACTTTGCCCTCGAGACGTGCCGGTCTTCGCTGTTGTGAGATGCACACATCAAAGCTATATCAGCTCCGTCGAAGCCGTACTTGTCGAAGCCCGGGGTTTCAAGCACTGCGAGAGCTTGCGCTGGCTTAGATGCGGAGCGAGCCAGCGTCATTCGTGAAGGGTTGCCGACTGCATAGAGGACCTTGCCATCGGCGTCGACGACTGCAGCGTGGACTGCATGTCTATTTTCGATCACGCCGCCTCTATCGGTGACCACATAGTCTTCGAAAAGGCTTGTCTTTGTCATGCTGAGGCTGAATTACTCGATGGGATGTCGTGGCGGCGATGGAGCACTACGATGTGACTTGTGAAGTTGTGCTGAAACTTGCAAAATCCAAATGACTCGGCAGTAAATGCTCTGATCAGGATGCGCGCGACTTTCGTAGCTCAAACCTCGAAACCAGTGTGTGCGCCTCTCTATTTATTTTTCCATCGAGCTCTGTATTATTGTAAACGAATATTGAACAAATATGTGGGTTGATGAGTTGAGTTGGTGGATGTACCTTATTCATTGGGGAAACCTCCAAAGGGCGTCGTTTGACAGTGCAAGGACCCCTGCGCCCGAAGAAGGGTCCAATGCGTCATGTCGGCCAGCGAGCTTATGTTACTGCATCGGGCACATTGTAGGATTGCGGGACTGGTGTTTTAACCAATTGGAGGCACGCAGATCCCATTACTCAGTATGATTCATAGCACACCATCTTGTTGATTCAACGCTGAGAAGTGTCCTCCGAAACTTGCTGCTTGAATAGAGTATAGTGGTGTCTCTATCAACTGGCAGAACGCGTTTGTCAAGTACAATGTCCAAGTCTGCCGCCGACCTAAAAGAGCGATTAGGTTATGCTTCGGGGCGGATGATTCGAATAGTCACCCAAATATCTCGCACCAGAGAGTGTCGAAATATCACTTGAACAGTCGGTTGGTGGTTGACGTGATAAGGGAGATTTTCTGGTTCGAAATCCAAGTTCTGTTCAACTCCAGAGAAATTGAAGACACCAAAACTTCGACGACTAATTATCGTAACAAAACCCAATAAACAGCGGTAGAGAACACGAAGAACAGAAAGTCCGAGACTTCAATCCTATTACGCACAATACAATTACTTTTACAAAACTTATTAGACCGCATAACTCAAAACGACCAAAGTACCTCACCAACTAGGAAAGGCGTGCGCCCTTTCATGTGAAAATGACTCTTGACCCAGTGTTGCTACCCCACAACCGGAAGCCGTCCCGGTCCGGCACCGGTGTCGGTTTTTCAAGACTCTTTGTCATAAAAACCTAGACTACCCCACGGGGGATGTAAAGAAATTCAAGGTGCATCTCGAAAGCGTTTCGACGGGAGGCCTGTACTGAACGACGCATCTTCAACGTCCCGGTACTTCAGTCAAGATGTCGGTTGAACTGCGCCCGATGCCGAACTCCGGCGCGGTTGCCTCGGCGCCGCCGCAGAGTGATGAGGAAGACGGAAACACCTTGATCCACACTATGCCGCCGACCGACAAGGGGGCTGCAGCATGGAAGTTTTTGCTTTCCAGCTTCGTTATTGAGGCACTTCTATGGGGTATTTTCCCTCAAATTCTCCGGAAGAGTCTGACGGGGCGGTGTCACTAACTTTTCCAGGATTTCCCTTGACCTTTGGTGTCTTTCAGGAATACTATTCCTCCCAACCACAATTTGAGGGTGACTCCAATATCGCTGTCATTGGCACGGTATCCACGAGTATCTATTTCCTCGGAGCGCCGCTCGCTGCGCCTGTGGTGAAAAGATTCCACCGATACCAGAAGCACATGGTCGTCGTCGGCTGGGCCATGTGCGTCGCGTCTCTGATCGGCGCGTCCTTTGCCACCTCAATCGCGGGGCTGATCGCAACCCAGGGTGTCTTGTACGGTTTTGGATTTCTGATGCTCTACTTCCCGGTGTTGCGGATGTTGAACGAGTGGTTCGTCGCCCGGCGCGGACTTGCATATGGCGTTCTTTACGCCGGCGGCGGGTTTAGCGGTGTTGGGATGCCTTTCCTGCTGCAAGTACTGTTGTCCAAGTATGGATACCAGACTACGCTCCGGGCTGTAGCTGTCGCTCAGTTCCTTGGGGTTGCGCCCATTCTGCACATGATCAAGGGCCGACTGCCGCCGTCCCCTCACGGTGCCATGCGCATGTTCGACGTCAGCTTCCTGAGACAGCCCCTATTCTACTGCTTCGCACTCTCGAACTTGTTCCAGGGTTTCGCTTACTACATCCCGTCTTTGTATCTGCCCTCTTACGCTAGTGCCATCGGGCTTTCTGGTACCATGGGGGCGCTTCTCTTGGCAGCGCACAACTTGGCAACCGTTTTCGGGCAGATTGGTTTCGGATGGCTTTCCGACCACACGAACAACGTCTTTATGCTCATCTTCGTCTCTTCTTTTACGTCGGCGGTGGCGGCCTTCACTCTCTGGGGATTCGCCCACTCTCTGCCGCTGTTAGTCATCTTTGCACTCGTCTTTGGCATGTTTGCTGGAGGCTTCCTCATCAACTGGCCAAAGTTTGGGGCGATGCTTTCCGACGACCCGCAGCCTGTGTACAGCATGATGGCGTTTGGCAAGGGCATCGGGAACTTGGCCACCGGCCCGATTACTGCCGGATTATTAACCAAGCCGGTGAGCGGAGGGTATGGGATGGGCCGTTATGAGTCGCTCATTTTGTTCTTGGGCTCTTTCATGCTTTGCTCTTCGTTGGGGGCCTTCGCTTGGCCTTTGAAGAAGCGAGCTTAAAGGTCATTGATTCAGTACAACCAGTCGGTACGGAAAGATCGCCCGGTTGCCCATTTCTTGCCTACGACATCCGGTCCTAAGAATCAGAGCTTTGAAGCCGTTGTCCTAGTCTACCATCAGCGCGAGAATTCGTGGGAACGCCTGCCTTTCCGACACCTGCTGGCTATCAGCTGATGCATTGTCTTGGCCGTGGCTCAAGCAAAAGTCATTTATAGTAAAATACTGGGGAAACCTGACTCAAGAAGAATTTCGTCCGCCGAAACCGAGTCAAAAGTTGATGTCCCTCCCTAACTTACCCAATTGCCTTTCAGAAAACTCATACATGGGCCCCTGCTTAAGCCTATGAACGATTGATAGCCCGCTTGGCGTGGAGAATATTCTATAATATCCAGCAGCCCTATGAAGGCTTCGCCGTCCCTTCGAGGCCTGCTCAAGAGCTCACTGTCAGAAATTGATTAAGTCTCTGGTTTGAAAACAACGTCAAATCGCCCCAAACTAGCATCATTGACGTAGATCGCAATATCTAAACACAACCTTAAATGTCCGAAATTTGTAGATAAAGAGGTCCTCAATCCACCAACGGAATACGCCTATTGAACACAATCTTGTGAATTATTCGAAACTTAGGATCACGACTCAGCCAAGACACATAGTCAGGTACCTAAGATTATTCTACCAGACACCATCAATCACCCAGACTAAACCCAGAAGGCCATGCGTTCATTCGCCGTAAGCATCACGCTGCTTTCCTTCCTTGCCACAGGATCGATTGCCCAGAACAACGGTATCACACCTGTGACATGCCAGCCAGAGACAGTAAACTGCGTTAGTCCGAACATTAAGCTGTCACGGTTCGCAAACATATCTAATCTTGCTTCCTTCAGGACTCAACGGCAGACTGTGAAGCAAAGGGCAAGCTTGGCGGGTTTCCCTGCCCTGCTGGGTCCGGCCAAAACGATGCCGACTGCTGGATTGCCTCGAGTTCTGATCCCAGCGTACAAATGACCGTGCAGGTACATCGTTCACTTCAATTCCTTTCTATGGATGCTTCGTGTAAGATCTGCTTGCTGACATATCTCACGCAGTGTTGGTGTTGCAAGGCATCGAGCAAAAAGATGTTTCGTGCCTAAGAGCACTTGAATAGTCGATCATTTCAAGAAAATCGTTCTGTTTAAGCAGGCAACATGTATTTGAATCCGTTAGTGCGTCGTCGGATCTAGCGGGTAGCTCAAGCGGCTGGCAATTCTCTGTTGTGCCAGATCGATGGTGTCCGTACAGAACAAGCCAACGACCCTTGACTGAGCTAAAGTCTTCTACAAGGTACACCATCGAAGCATGATCTTAGTCGATTGCATCAGGATCTGTCCTAGTAGAAAGGCAAATGTATTTGATAACACCAGTCATCTAAAACTCAGACCCCTTCGGTTCGTTGCTGCGTCTGGTTCGTGTCCCCACTCGCTCCTGTGATACCTTGAGTCCATGTTCGAGCTCGGGTTGGGCTGAAGCTAACCGTCGCCCTTTGCCGATGGATTTCTCGAATTGCAACTCGGAAGGGTTCGGTGAACTTTAAGAGAACATCCCAGATGTACTTGACAGGGCCAAAGAGATCAAACAGGTACGCCCGATACCCTAGGACAATTTGGGTTGAGATTTTGCGAAACCGTGAAGAGCCGAGGTAGAGACAGAAAACAAAGGCAATGAAGTATGTGAGAATGGGTACTGTGATAAAGCTTTCCTGGAATCCGTCGGGTACCTTTGGCTTTCCACCATCGGAGGGACTGTTCAGAAATGGAAGCGCCCAAAACGTCTTGAGAGCATTGTCAGTATTCCACCGGCGATTGCAAGCCAGCTGCTCAGTTGATATACAACACGTACCGCCATGAACCCAATGGGGGTGTACAAAATCGTAAAGGCAGTAAGCACGTAAACAGATCTGTTCAACGCCATGCCGTTGTTGGTCTCCCGCAAAGATGTTGCGTTAAACATCTAAATGATTTAGCGAGAGCTCTCGAAGACATGAAAAATGAAACTTCACTGGGATGATGTTGCTTACGCTTTCTTGATGCACCTTGAGGTCTTCTATTTGCTGATTGACACGACCCTGAAGCCTTTTAGTTGACGCACTGATGGACTCGGCGACGTATTTCCAGCTTTCTTTCACGCCATTCAATTCGTCGTCATGTATGATTTGAGTAGCAGAGGACACTGCTTCGAGGAAGTGCCTGTGATTTGCCCCGAAGTTGGACGCTGTTTCTTCCAGAGAATTCGAGGCAAGCTTGAGGAATTGAAGCAATGAAAAGTATCTTTTGGATACCTGCAATGACCGATCGAACATCAATTCGTCCAGCCGATGCGTGTCCTGGATTTCATGCATCTACGACAACTTGAGTAAGCACTCAACATTATTTGCAGTAGTGGGGTGTGTACACCAATGTGTTCTTCCATGAACGGCATAAAGGTAAGTAGGTAACATCTAAGCTGGAAGTCAAAAGACTTTAGGAAAATATTAACTAACCTGTATGGACGTTCCAGCTTCAATGACATCCAATATCTCATGCCAGCGCTGCTCCCAGGTACCCATTATTGTGAAAATAATGAGCAAATGATGGCAAATTCCAGAAGGCTGGAGGGGTGGTGTAGGCCCTTTGCTATTTCTCACTAAGTTACTCAATGATTCTGGAGAAAGGTTGTGTTCCACTTTGTCATCAGCTAGTATGACGGTTGTGTACTTTGAACCTGTCGAAATCTCGTCCAGAGTAGTCACCACGGTTGATCTCCTTTCAAGGACCGTAGATCTCCGTTCATCCGACATAATGTCTCTCCACTTCCCGTTGACCGTGGTCCGCGTCTGTCTCAATGTCGAATACTTTGCCAGTGGGACCGAGTTGATCCGTCTGAAGATGGAAAAGAGTAGATCTATCCCAGAACCTCCTGCTCCTCCAAGAACGCTCGCCGCTAACATAGCCGTCAACGAACCAGGCCCAACTTGTCGAGCCTGTTGATGAGTGTAGTCGCTGTCAGACGGGTCTGTGGGATATTGTGGCCCAAAAATACTCCCAAGTTCTCTGCACAGCAGAATGCCTTCCTCATGTGTTTGCTGATCCTCTATGTCCGGGAAATGTATCAACTGAACCCAGTAGCTTATGCTAAAGACAAGTCTCATGGATCCTCGACCTGCTCCCGTCGGATCAGATGGCCGTGCAAATGTTTGACATTGAGAACGGCGGTGGGTCGTAATGTGGCGAGGGAGTATGTAGGAGGAAATGATTTCAATGATTTGTTCCGAGCTCGCAGGTGAAAGCCAACTTGATAGAGAGGCCAATACTGGTATGCTCAATGTCGATCTCCTAAGAACACGCGACTTGACCATCCTGTTCCGTTGACAATTATCATTTTACTGCGCCAATGTGCTAAGGAGGGAAACAAACAATCTCAACGTACCAAACTTTACCCAATGGTGTCTCGAACCGATCCTATAGTGTTAGTATTAGTATGAGAACCTCACGATATCTTTTGTCTACAGGGTGTTGAACGAACCGTTTGACTGGAGAGAAACGGTGTCCCAGACTGATCCACGGAGTAGCACGCGCCTCCGGAACTTGATGGACTTACATCCGGGACGAAAAGCTCGCGCGTTCCATGACGGATGGTTTTGAAGTTTGACTGACAAAAGCTACGGATCCTTGATCTAACGCATATATAGAGCTCACGAGCATCTTTTCCTTCCAGGGCTGGAAGTTCGACCAACTGGAACTTAGTTCTGACGTAGTACGTGTATTGTGTGTATGCGATTTCAAAATACTGTTCCCAGAGGCCTATGCGGAGGGGATCTTCCGTGAATTCCTCGAGAATCGATGTCGAAGCACCAGCTTTCTCCAAGTTCAGTTTCAATGTCATGAAACCAAACAAAGGATGACTCATGAGAAATGAAGTACCGGCAGCTTGAAATATCTTCATGCGAATGCCGGTAGGAAGAGGGCTGACGAACCACTCATCCAGATCTCTTGGTAAGCGAACTATAGCATCGGGTTGTGGTAGCTCAGACACTACAGGACTCCCAGAGTCTTCTGATGGAGCGCCCGTTACTGTAACGACATCTTCGGGGGGGTTAGAATCATCGAGCTGTGGTGGCGCAGGCGTTGCGGTATTCTCAGAAGTGTCTGGCGGTCTGTCAGTTGAGACATTCGCTGGAACAGCCTCTGTCGAGATATCAGGATTGGTAGCTGGCGCTCCACATTGCAGTGGCGCGATCTCTAGCGGCGGTTCAGATGCTGTAGTACTCTCATGGACACCTCGTGTTGCGTCCGATGAGCCTTCTACTGGAACGACTGCTTCTCTTAGGTCAGAGGCGGCGACTGGCGTTGCACACAAAATTGTTTCCACCTCGAGTGGTAATTGTGTGGACATTTCCACATCGCTCTTAGTTTCTGGAGAATTCTGTGCGACCAGTTGCTTGTTCTGTGCGTGTTCAGACCTTTCCTGACCAGACAGGATTCTGGTCAGTTCGGCCAGGTTATTGACGAGTTGGTGAAGGACTGGCTCCAACGGAGCAGGCTGCACTGATGCCATCGCATAAGCGTCGGAATGCTCACGTGTGCAATGTGAGCAAGAGAGAAACAGGACTGGAAATTGGCCGTCTGTTATGTACATGTAAATAGTTAAATGAAACAGCAAGCGAGGATTCTCTGTTGCCGCAATTTGTGCATTTCATTGGACCTGGCTTTATCATTCGTCAACGTTTCCAGCTGAGTTGTGTCAAGCTGCACCCCGGAAGTACGATCTCAGCTTGGCTTGGAGCCGACCTCTAGTAGATGACCTATCGCTTAGCCTGAACGTCTCATTGGGTAAAGACCGTCGTGGTGAAACAAGAAGATGCGCATTTCACATAAGCCTGAACAACTTGCATTTTACTCGCATATTATTGCGTTGAGGTTCTTCTTTTGGCGCAGCCATTTCGTGCCACACATGGTTAGTGCTAGGTAATCTCGTATTCTAGCCTTGCCTGCATCGAGTTCGCTGTCGCACAAGACCACTGAGCTGAGCCTCGAGTCTAAGAGGGCGTGGAAGGCTGGGTTAAGAGGTGGGTGTCCAGTCGGTTTCTACAGCCTGATCGGGGGATCAGCCCCTTCGAGCTTACTCAGTTAATACACACATGAGTCTGGACAAGATTCTTCTGAGGAAGTTGATGCTAGGCTCGCGGAAGGTTCGGGAAGATGATCGAACGGTCTACCTGCTAGGTGTGCTAAGGGTGGGATATTAAGAAGGTATAAAATTATGCTACTAGGGTATCCTCAGAATCAATATGTAATGATCGCAATGCAGTAAGTCACGATTCGGTTGTGCAGCAGAATCTGACCGTAGACGCGTTCACTTCGCAACCTCAGGCTCTGGAGACCCAACATGACGCTCCGAGGGAACAGACTCGCCATAAGGTCTGCGGAAGAACACATTCCTTTCCCAGCCATCAATCTCATCGACAACAGTCTCGCGAACCAACTCGTACTTGCCAATCTTGGGCAGGATCTTGGCCCAGACAACCCAGTAGAGACCACCAGCCACGATGATAGCGATACCGACAACGCAGTGAAGGTAGTAGGGTAGGCTCTCATAAACGTTCTGGCCCTCCTCGGGGGGCACAAAGGGTGCGATGACGAGGTAGATGTTGCTAAGCATGAAGAAGATGACCACGGGCAGGCTGGCGCTGATGGGAGGGTTCCAGTTCCATTCCTTGCGGTTGAGGTACAGGTAAGCAAGACCGCCAGCGACAAAGACGTTGATGATGGCGAGGGGGTAGCTGATGAGGTTGAGGATGAAGTTGTACGCATCGCCTATAGGTATGTTAGTATGTATGCATCATGACACAGAGCTCGGTTGAGTTCTTCTTACCAGGAGGGGGAGCAAGCATCGTGATGACGCAAATCAGCCAATGCTCAAAGAGACCAGCCAAGGGGGCGTTGAGGGGTCTGTTGCTGGCGAAGAAACGCGACCAGGGCAGAATACCCTCGCGACCGAGCTCCTGGACGAGACGGCCCTGGGAGAAGATGACACTGAGAACGTTGCCAAAAGCGGACAGGGCGACGAAGACTGAAAGAGCACGTTCGGCAGTGCCACCCATTACATTGCGGAAAAGGGACGCCGCCACAAGTCGACCACCCTCAAGGATTTCCTCTCTCGGGACAGCGGCAAAGTAGGCGACGTTAACCAGCATGTAAAGGATGGAGATGGTGATGATACCGACGGGCGCGGCGATCTTGAGGGTACGGACGGGGTTCTTGGTCTCGCTGAGGGCATAGTTGGCATTGCTGTATCCAATGTAACTCCAGATGACGTTGTAGAGAGCAGTGACGACACCGTAGGGGCTACCGGTGGTTCCCTCGAATGCGTTTTGGAAGTTCTTGGGCTTTTGTTCCTCGGGCAGCTTGACGTGGCCACCGAGAGCAATGAAGCCGCAAAGAATGATGATGACAATGATGACCAGCTTAATAGTTCCGAGAAGGTTCTGCAGGCGCAGACCCCAGTTGAGGGCGAGACCGTGGATCAAGAAGGCAGTGGTGATGCAAGCCAGGCCGATGGCGCGCTGGTTCCAGCGGTCGACCTCGACCTCGGCGGCGTGCAGAATGTATTCGCCAAAGACGACAGAGTTACCACTAGCCCAGCCGAGCAGGATGACGTATCCGGTGTAGAGACCCGTGGTGAGGAACTTGGGCTTGCGGAAGACGTATTCGAGGTAGTTCTTCTCTCCTCCGTTCTTGGGGATTGCGGTGCCCCATTCGAGATAAACCGCGGTACCGGCGAGGGCGATGATCATGCCGGCAACCCAGATAAAGAGTGAAAGGCCGACACTGCCAGAGAGCGCAAAGATGGTGCCGGGTGTCGCAAAGATACCGGTGCCGACAACACGGTTGACGATGAGGAAGATGGCAGTGGTGACACCGATTTTTCGCTTGTTTTCGCGGGCGTGCTCGATGCGGCCTGGGATGATTGATTAGCAAGTTGACGGTTGTGCGGCAGAGCTCGGTCAACGGAGTGCGCTCCGCAACCATCATCATGAAGAAGACTCACCAACTTCGCTGTCGTAGGTCGTCGCTGCTGGGAGATCGCCATGCTTTCTGTGGTCACCGTCGGCGGCAGTGGCCGACGACGAGGCGCCAAACTTGTTCAAAAGCTTGGACATCTTGACGATGTGATGATGGTGAACTAATCCTGTCGTCGTGGGTGTAAACGATCAGAGACCAGGAAAAGACACCAGATGGAGACGGAAGACTGGAGAACGGAAGACTATCCGAAAGAACTACGAAACTAGAAGGTTGACAGAAGACTTTATGTCTGTGGCAGAGCAGGCCCCGCCAAGGAGATCACGTCTTATTTACACCGAATTGGCTCCATGTGGCGAGAGGTTCGTCTGGGTGGAATCGGCTTGTCGTCTTGGGGGTGAGCAGTCGATGTTGCGCCGCATTGGTAGGCACCCTTGCACATACGAACGAATAGAGCCAAAAACCAAAAAAGTCCCAAAGGTCACCGTCCCGACATACAAGGATTAGGAGGCTCTGAAGACTCGAGAGTCTAACCGTCAGTGGTGCGCCGAGAGTATCCGCATGCGAGATTTACCTGCGAGAGACCATGGATGATGGAGCTGCGAGCATCTGGAGCTTCTTGGAAGGCTTCTTGGAGTCTTCGAGTCCCTCTTTGGACCCCCAACATGGCCCCCAGGATCCTAGCTCTTATTCTCGAACCGTCAGGGGACAAGCACAAGGGATTTCCATCCCGCAGTCCCAGTGGTCTGGTGCGAAAAGCTCTGTGTCATAGTTTCTGTTTGTGGTCCACTCGGCCGATGACGCGATCTGAGGACAAGATGTCGAAGACTCGAAGTGGGAAAATTTTGGCGTTGGGACCCGGTTTTATGCCGTGGGGCATCGATTGAGCTTTGCAGGCGACACGCCCACGACGCCTTATGTAACAACGGAACACCATGACTTCTTCCAATTCAGTGTGAATGAAGGCTTCATCGTTGAAATAGTGGTGAGACTATCAGATATACTCCGAAAGGTACCATCTGATGAGAATCGCCCGAATTTTGGTGAAGTGTGTATAACTCCAAACTCACCTGTACAACACAGTCATGAACCTCGTCTCACCTATGACCTCGATAGTAATTGCTGCCTCATTCTCATATCCTTGCCCGTGTACTTTGTGTCGCACTTTCCTCCGCTCAAATGCGTACAACTTGTAGTTGATTCAAAAGAGAAAGTGTCTGTTGCCCCAGTTGCCGATTATGCTCAAGGTTGGTCGTGTCTGACTGGGCAAGGCGATGATCCTTCACTTGGGACAAGCTGCATCTCGACTTCACCTGCCCTAGCAAACTTCAAAGATTCTTGCCATTTATCGACAATTACGGCCAAAAAAGGCGCTTGCCTCGTTGTAAGTGCGTATTTCCAGAGTCACATGGCGTTAGGACTTGTTCAACGTCTTGCTTTGCTCTTGCCCTCTATGCCTTGATGAACACACCAAGCACCCCGCGGCCTTCTCACGACATGCTGTGAGAGTTCTCGTGTTATCCCGCTGCAATATGATCTGACCTTCCGGGTGAGCGGATTTCATAATCACCTCTAGATCGTCCATTGGACTCAATAGCAGCTGTGAGCTGCAGTCCCGTACGTGAGATCTGTTGCCGATGGTGCAACCATGGCAAGGTCTGGGCACCCTTCCATCGGTTGTAACCGAGTTCCAGGCTGCATCTCAGACAAGGGATATGATCCTCATCCCGCGCAGAGTTTGCATGACACTCAGGGGTTAGACGCACTTGCGGACTCACCAGGCAGCATCTTCTCATGGCGAGACTGGATTTCAACTTTTGCCGGGAGCGACGGGGAACATCAACAAATCAGCACCTCGCCGATCTTCAGCTGAAAAAGGTTGCTTCACAAAGGTCCCCAAAGATGTCTTGTCCCTCGGGGGAAAAGACGAGACGGGTAAGCATATTGAACCGAAGTCTTGGTTCCTTCCTCATGCGAAGGCTGGGCGCAATGAAGCCATCCTAGCCACCATCGCGTGATAGTGCCAATGAGCCGCGGCCAAGCGAGGTAGGTGAGACTTGGGACCTTTGCCTCGTTTACCCAAGCACGGGTCTCCTGATTACTCATTTTGGAAGAACATAGTAATTAAGGCCCTCTCACCAGAGTTACTGTTCCAACATCAACTGTGTGTCACTATGGCTGCATCGCGAGGGATGGCAAGCCGGTATAAAGGCGACTCGTACGTGGCACGTAAAGCGCATCCAACTGTTATTGATAGGCACACTCGATCAATTTGGTCCTCATTTGTGTAAGTAAAGAGGAGGCATTAATCGGCCGACGGAGACTTATGAGGGGATTGAGCTGCGGGCTTTGAGTCCAGTTTCGCTATTTTTCATCGAGTGTTAGTCAGCGACGCAGGGAGATGAACCTTGATGCAAAGGAGGCGTCATGTCCACGCTTACCCATCAATGGCATCCGGTCGGGAAACAAGGAATCCGTGAATTGCCAAGCATCCCTTCTTGACCAACTCTTGCCAGAAGTAAGGTAGTATGCTGAGATTGTAGATATCCAGCGAAGTGAATCCGATCTTGAAGGGCCCTCCTGGTACCTCATTCTGCCCAATGCTATTTGAGTCATTTCCAATGGAAGGTAGAGAACAAGGGCCGAGATAAGATGCTGTACCTTGCACTGTCATTGGTTTCGGGGGGGCGTCCTGATAGCCCAAGATATTAGCCGACACATTCGGCCTACGATATGTTTGCCCGCAGAAGACATGCAATTCCCCGATAACCCCTCTGAGTTCCAATCTTCTGGGTAAAGTGCTGCATCTTGCCCCTGTTTAGTGCCAATGAACCAGGCTGTACGTCCTTTTAGGTTGAGGAAGCATGCCGGGGCGTTGCCGCGGACCGGACCGCTCACGCTTTCAACCGCCGATCCTGCGGAGGTCTCATCCAAACGATCTGCCACGCGATACTGGGGAAGCTTCCTTGGTGGATCAATGGACATGTATAAAGAATGCCGTCTTCATGAAAGGGGTTACATGTCCGATTTCCCTTATTGTTCCCCACGTGTGTTGCAGGTAGCAAAACCAAGGAATGGCGATGGCATTGACAGTTGGAGAGACCATGAGGACTCTCTTCATCTGCAATATCGCTGTGGCCACCGTCTATGGCCGATCGCACCAACTAAAGCTTGATCATGAACACTCCCTAACACTCTCACTAAGCCGGCCACATAACTTCGCATAATGACAATGGGGAGGTGTATCCGTCCGTTAGTAGTTGTATAGCCGGTTGACCAGATGGGGACAATGACGCAGAGGATCGACTAGGGTCCTCCGATCATCGGAGACTGACCAGCGGACGACTCCCTAAGGTGTGGACGGACAGCGGATACACAACGCGGCATGCGGAGAAGTCTCCGCGCCCGCATCGCTTGGCGGCTGTTTGACTCAATAGGTCGTTGGCAAAAGCGATTGATCTAAAGCGCCGTTGCGTCCCATCGCGTGAAGTGAGTTTTCCACAGCGTCATCTTTGCCTTGGTCGATGGTAACTATCGCAGTCACCGACGCAGATGGCTTAGGATGCGACCTCACTCAACCATGGGTCAAGTCCCTCTGCCTCTGAATGGCATCTCCACTGGCGACTCAGACATTGAACGGTCCAACATAACCGAGGTTACGAACATTAACCATGTCAAGGGGAAATCAAATCCTGCCGCGCTTGGAGAGTCAACCACAGTCATAGCAGATGGGATTGATATCCCTCTCAACATCGATGCGCTAGATCCGGCATTCCAGCTCTCAGAATGTTTGCGATCACACGGTATCGAAGGCCTCCTCGAGGAGGACTACCCATCATCCCTCGATACGAGATACCAATCACCATTCGCATGGCCATTACGAAAGAAGATCACGGTGCTCTTTGGGACCTTCCTCGCCTCGACCCTAGCCGCCTACTCTGCCGGCGCTTATGCCATGGCCGCTGCCCCCCTGGTTGAGAAATGGCATCTCACGAACACCCAATTCAACCTAGGCATCACCCTCTTCGTCTTGGGTTTCGGCTTCGCGCCCATGGTACTAGCCTTGATCAGCGAGATCTACGGCCGCTACTGGGTCTTTGTCGGTTCAGGTGCCGTATTCTTCCTGGGAACCCTGGGCTGCGCGGTGACACAGTCGTTTCCTGGCATGTTGGTCTCTCGTCTGATTACAGGCAACGGGGCATCAGTCTTTGCGACGCTGACCGGGGGCGTGGTGGGAGACGTATTTCACAAGGAGAATCGCAACACGCCCATGGCCCTTTACTCGCTCACGATCATGATTGGAACCGGGTTGGGTCCCATGATCAGCGGTATAATCGTCGACAACCTCCATTGGAGATGGATCTTTTACGTGCAGATGATCACTGTCAGTTCCACCACGTTAGCCATCTTTCTCTTCTTCGCCGAGACGCGGAGTAATGTTGTACTCGAGCGGAAGTGCGTAACTCTCAACAAACATTTCGACGGTATTCGCCTGCAGCGGGTCTCGTCGCCGACTGGGGACAAGAGTGGATTGCGGCAAGGCACCGAGCAGCTGAGCGAGGGTCAGTCGCAACCTGTTCGTGTCCAGTTCCGCGCCCATTTCGAAGGTCCTGAGCTTGACATGAGTATCCTTTGGCGGAGCTTCTCCTTCCCCCTGAAACTTCTTTGCACCGAATCCGTCGTCTTTTGGTTCTCCGCCTGGGTTTCATTCGCGTGGGCGATCCTATACATGCAGTTCAACAGTATCGGTCTGGCATTCCGCTCCGTGTATGGCTTCAACAGCAGTCAGGTAGGAGGTATCTACACTTCAGTCATTGTTGGATCGGTAATCGGGGCGGTGATTACAATCTTCCAGGAGCCGATCTTCAAGAAGTTCATGCCTCAACGGATGGCAACGCCGGAAGGAAGACTCTATTCTGCATGTGTTGAGTCACTCTTCCTGCCGATCGGGCTGTTTTGGTTTGGCTGGAGCTCGTCTACCAACGTACCTTGGATTGTGCCCGCACTCGCAATCACCTCCGTGACGGTTGGCATCTTCACCATCTATCTGGCTGTCTTCAACTATCTGGCGGACACCTACCACCGATATGCCTCCTCCGCTCTGGCAGCACAGTCTATGTGCCGGAATCTGCTTGCCGGAGTGTTCCCTTTGTTTACAAACATCATGTTCCAGAGGCTTGGGTACGGTGTTGCGGGAAGTCTTCTAGGTGGCATTGGTTTGCTTCTTTCGCTTGTTCCTTGGTTGCTGTGTATCTATGGGGAGAAAATCAGGGGTCGCAGTCCTTTTGCCGGGCAACTCAAAGCAGGATGAAGTTTATGTTGATGTTACGCCAGATGCCAGAGAGTTTCATGCGTAGGCAAAGCAATGATGATGACCCTTCTTAGAATTAGAAACGGTTTCCAGTATAGTCAACAAGCCATCGCTCCGTATGACACTCTTAACATCGTTGGTTCAGATGTGCCCGAACCTCGACCCCGGATTCATGGTCATTATGTAAATGAACCTCATGAATCAGGCACTTTGACATGGCTTCTCTGTGTATATCTTTGATCGGCTGATACAATAGCATCTTTTGCACCCAATATGGTTGATGTTACGTTGGTGTCATGGTGCTGAGTAACAGCCTTACAGGCAGCAGTGCTTGAAGGGAGTGTGAGTAAGCACCGTACGCTTAGTCGCTCGGAACAGATGTTTTAGTCGGACTATGGCCCTGAACTTATGGGTCTCGGAGATGTTGCTGTCACTAATGAGATCAATTGCTTGCTTCGAGTAAGCAAGATATTGGAAATTATTGCCTGTGAAGGGCGGAACTCCGCTGCTTCCTCCTTCTCTTCGAGTCTGATGCGGATTCCCCTCCACTAGTGGTTCGTCTAGGTATCGGTAGTCAGACGTTCCCGCTCAATGCGACTAGACATATGTATTGGGGTATTTCAGAACTACCTGCCTAAGTTGACCAGCGCGTAGAAGACTATAAATCCCACGAATACTAGACATCAACATCAACCTTGCGGTCAGACTTTCGCACAATCCTCAAATAGTCGAGGACAAGATCCAATATTCACAATGGTAAATTTATCGAAGTAGCAAATCTTGATAAAACCCGCATGCTGACTGCATCCACCTCAGGTTCAACTCACTCAAATCATATCTGGCCTCGTCTTGGTCCTCGGAGCGCAAGCTGCCGCTACGCCCGCCACACTGCAGAAGCGCGACACTGTTAGTCTCGGTGTCTTCCACGACGGAGGCTGTGCTGGCATTTATACCAACAATTTTGACGTCTCCTCTGGCCGGTGCCAAGATTTTTCGGGAAATGTCTACGGGGCATTATTCGCAAACAGAGGCGGGAACGTCTGCAAGCTCAAGTTCTGGGCAAATGCCGGGTGCAGTGGAAAGGCGACGGTCAGCACGGTCAACTCATACGAAGACCATTCTTGCGTTCCTGTTGCCAACAAGGACGGACAGTTCTACTTGACCGATGGAGCACGGTCTGTGTACATCACTTGCTGATTACTCCGTGCTATTCGATCCGTCGTTGAATAAAGAATTTCTCTTGGGTATCTTTCGCTCGTAAAACATAACTCAGTTGCCAGCTCCCCTTCGTTCGTCCCCTGCTATTCAAAAAGGCATCCGTTCCGCCCATAAGCTTGCAAATCGACCAAAGATTTTGAGATGGATTCAATCCGATCTTTCGCGGTCAATGTCCAGAGTGATCGGTGCCAGAGAAAGCTCCTGCGATTGCGGCATAACCTTGACCGATATCAGCGCTGACGCTGTGATGAGAAGATGATCCGCTTCCCACTGAGACGGCGCTATCCGAGCCAGAAGGCTTCAGCGACTCTCTGTTTGACTCTTGTGACGTCTTTTGTTGTTGGCGGATAGAGCTGCTCTCGATGCCCTTTCGTTCATCCTCGTCGAGGTCTTTGAAGACTGGGTCGTCGGCTGACAGAGCCCTCGGTCTCCCGACCCAGCTTTGAGAAGGCGCTTGTCTCGGCTTGAAAGGATTGCGCATGGTGTATTTATTATGTAACACAGGATGTCTCGATTTGTCGTGATGTTTCCGTGTTTAATGTCGATGACGGATCTTTGCGAGGGGCGGTCAACTTGTGTAAGTATGATGGTTTGGGTGTGTACGAACGTTGAGATATTGAAAGTATCAAACGAAAACCATGCAAAGGCTGGGGAAGATGGCGCGCACAAGCTTAAGTAGAAAGCTGCGCGACGGAGCCAAATACTGCCGAGTGCTGCGCCGCGCGCGTTGAGCTGCTATCGGGGAGGCCTACGGTGAGCATTTAGGCTGACACCGAAGGAGGCAGGAGGGGCGGAGTTGCTGTCCTCGTGGTTCCCAAGCCACGGTGATGCTTGTCTTACTAGCCAATCAGGACTGGTAACATTTGGTCGTGTTGAGTTTAAGCACTGGAACGAGGATGGTCCCCTGCCATGTCAGCCGAGCTGAGCCTAGCCTTGACGCTATCACCCCAGAATAACCGCCCGAGTGGTCTGGTAGACTGGTAGCGATAGCGAAGGCCGGCGGAGCCCTTGTGCTTAAATCGCAAACAGAGACAACTTTCATTCTGGTGTAGGGCTGATTGAGGGAGTGGGTTCATCGAAGGACCGAGGACCCGAGTTCTTGGAACGTAAGCAGCTATTCAAGGCTATAATCAAACTTATAGCTTCATTGGCAGCTTCGCTAAACTGCCTACTACTAGCTATCATACACCGTATGGCATGTCACCTGTGTGGCGCAAACTCCGCGAAATATGGCACCTAGGGGCACGGGATAACCTTTGTGCCATCCGAGGGACAGTACCCAGCCCAGTATGATCGCGTCGCCTTCTCGCAATTGTCTGGATCAGTCACGTCGCTAGCACCGAAGAATTAGGTTCAGTCAATAGATAAAAGTGTTCAGAGGATCCGCATACCGGTCAACCTGCAGATAACACCAGTTAAGCGTATCAAGAGTCTGAGATGACTGGCCTTTGGTCACAAAGACGAGGGCGTTCACATCCTAGGCAGTGTACGCGTTAGCGAGCTGGCGTTCGACAGATCGAATGGATGGTTTCTCACCTCGGTTTGATAGCAGCAAGTGTTGTCCTGTCTTGCTTCCAAGGCGACAGGGCTGGCCATGGCCATCACAGGCGCGGAAAGGAGGGCAACCTTAGAGAAGTGCATTGCAGGCAAGATGGGTCAGAAGATGTACGAGAAACTCTCCATGACGCAGAGGTATTATTTCAAAGCGACCCTTGACGGCTTTAATACCTGTACCATTCTACCATCGCTCGCGGAGAGCGCAAGGAAACCGTCCAACCTCGGCGCCAAGAGCCGGGAGTAAAGAGTGCACTGATTGGGCTTCGTGGACGTGTTTTTGCCGTTCATCCAGCGATATTTTAATGAAATGGCGAATCATGCGAGACTGTTGTGATTAAGGTTTGGGTAAGGTCCAACGACGTGAACCATATAATTAATCACAGGCGGGGAAATAGCGAAGCGACCTTATGCAGGCCCTTAAGCGATGCTCCCACCAAGAGTTACGATGAACTGTCCCGGCACTCTGACTCCTGGTTGAGATGATCGATGCCCAGCAATGGATTAGAGGCTTGATTACAGATGCTGACAGGTAATGACTTGAAACCTTCAGCCGATAAACCCAAGTGAATCTAATGCTTGGCTACACACACGGGCATTCAGAGATCCTTGATTCCCCGGTTCTTAAGTGCACATGATTTCTCTTGGCCCCGCAACAGTAGGGGGGAAGCTGCAGTGGACACTAGCACTCCTCGCAGCTTTACAGCGTAAGTAGGTAGAATGATGCGCTTTTGACCCTTCTTGTCTTTGCTTGTCTTCAGCCCGTCTACATTCTCGATGTAATGAAAGGTACGTTAATCAGTATCCCCAATATCCCTTGACCAAGAAGGCTCCGTAGCCCGCCAAAGCCCCGAGAACACCGATGCTGCCGAAATAACCGATGGGTCTGCCTTTGCCCATGCCTTCAGGCTTCATAATTCCAAGCTCGGCATGCAGCACACGGAGGGCAAAGAAGCTCCCGAGCAGCCAGCTCAGTGTCTTGCGGTTGCCTCCATTGACCTCGATCAGTGAAGCGAGGATGAAAGCAAGCGGCACGTTTTCGATGTAATTGACATGCGATCGGCCGGCAAGGTAAAGTGCATTGGCCTTGTATGATTCGGGGTCCGCTCCAGGCTTTGAGGAGTTGTCGCCCAAGTATTGCTTTGATTTCAGACGCTCGTTGACGACACGAAGGCTAAGGAATGCGTAGTAGATCGTGAATGGGAGCGCGAACGTGCCCGTAACAGCTACCCGAAGATGCAAGTTAGCTCTTAGGCAAACATATCTGAGGCTAAAATTCGGTGTCTAGCACATACGCAGTAGCCTGGGGATCGTTGTCAGTCCAATTGGTTGGCTCATTGTTGCGATTGATATGAGGTTCGTGATAGGAACAATTGAGAAGAACTCTATCCAACTTTCAAAAAAGTCGAATGATAAAGGCTGGTAGCGCAGCTGGGGAAACCTCGAGGATATGTAAGGTAGCTCGAGGCGGGTGCCCGGTCGCAATGACGATGAAGTGCCGCTAGTGCCGATACTCTGGCTCTCTTGACATCATGCATTCAAGACTCACCCCGTTCTAGGACAGGCGCCAAACTACGAAAGAGCCGTCTCCACGTTCAAGGGTCCAAGCTATGACAATTGTGCTTTCTGGGACCACGGAGCTATTCTTTTTGGGAATTTCGATTTGAAATACCTAACGGCACTCCTGATCCGAGTGTGATCGCCGATACCCTACTCCTGAGCACTAAGGCAATTAAGACGTTCGGGGACCATCAAGAGCATGCTCACCACTATGCAAACAACGTGCTTTCTCTGAAGATTTACTGTAATCAGACACGAAATCCAGCCAATGTCTATTTATTTCTACTGGGAATGTATGGTAGATGTCTCACTTGGCTGCTCGTTGACGGCTACAATGATACGTACGCTAGACCTTGAAAAGTTCAGCTATCATTCCTCACAAGATAATCGCGTCGGGAGTTTGTATATAGATAATTGATCGTGTCCAATTTCTCTATAGAAAATAGTACCTAAGGAGTGAATTACCATTATTATCCCAAGCCCAGTCACTGGCGTACATCCTTGTCAGTCGTGACTCCCAAGGAAGGTTCCATATGCTGTGTCTGCGTACAACTCCAACCCATGCGTTCGTGCACCATTTTCTCCGGTCCCAAATCGTCGAAGAAATCACAAACTCCAGAAAATGCGAGAGTCCCAATAAGTGATGAGAAAGGCTAAGAGCAGGTGACCTTGAAGCTCAAGAAGTTGTCGGCGATATCGCTCCACTCCTCGCAAGTCTGGACGCCGACTTGGCGACCCCCCTCTCCACAATCGGCTGTAGGGTAGGCAATCACTTGGCCAGCCAGTATTAGCCATTTGTCTCAAGAAACAGGGTATTAGGGTCTTACTCTCACAGCCCTCTGTAAGGCTGCTGAGGCGAATGGCCTTAACGGCATTGTCCGGTGCGTTGAACGTTGTTTGGCACACATCGGTTTGCGACTTTGTGATGGTCCAGATGCCGAGGTTACCGGCAGCTCCGCATCCCTGTTCGCTCCAGATCCGGAAGTCGGTGATGTGGGGGTCTTGACGGGGCACGGCACCGGCCTCGGTTCCGAGGAACAGGGCCGCTGCGATTGCGATGATGGTTGAAAAATGCATGATGGAATGGATGAAGAGGGTTTTGGTCTTTTTGAGGGGGTGCAAGGGGTCTTGAATGTACTGTAGCTGGAAGAGGAACAGAGTTCGGGTATGCAGCGTTGAGGTCTGTTTTTGTTGGTGTAATTGGAGTTTGGACGGTCCGAGGGCTGAGAGTGGTTGGAATGATGAGGAGATGAGAATCGGAAGAATGGGAGAGGACAGCTCACCTGGATTTATACCAATTCTGAACACGTCTGAACTTCTTGATGCCTTTCACAAAATTTGTTGGTCTTCTGGCGTATCTCCGTGATCATGCGTTTGCTTTCCTGCATCGGCCAACCCTGACGACGAGTGTGCTCTTCCGGGAATACGAACGATCAACATGACGAAGACTTGGGTCTTACATAGGTCTTACTCGTCTGTACGCACCCGAATCCTGCAGCAAACAAAGCTTTCGGACATACGGCCGCGCAGTGTCACCAGCATCCCTCCAGACCGCTTTGTCGGGACTGCCGGTCGTGGCTGAGCTCCTCGTATAGTGTTCTTTGAGTGGTATCTTGAGAAACAGAGGACCCTGCTGGTGAACCATCATCGGGGCAATATGGTCGCCGAGAAGTGATCACCTGCGATTGTCTACTCGTGTTAGTCTCGGGTCTCAAGGAATCTCCTCCCGCCCACGGAGGAACCCCGCAAAGTGAGATTCTTCCACACTATGATCGACGTGCTAGGCTCACACGGAAACGTCACTGTCCAGTCACACGTCCATGTCTCCCTTCAAGGTGATCCCTCCGATCCCCGGTTGCGCAAGCCGCAAAGCTTGAAAACGGCCACCGGTGGGACCTAGTTGGGCAATGTTGCCCTCTTTGGTCCACTAGCGCATGAGGCTTCGATATGCGATGCAGTGTTTCTCAACATGAACCTTGTGCAGTTCTCGGTGAGGCATCCAGTCCACTGATTACTATTATTCGATTGATAAGCGGTTACGGACTCTCCAAAAAGCGCTTTGGCTTTGAGTCGGACAATCGTCGTGCAAACATCGGAACACCATTGAAAACACACGAAGGCTCATTTTCTCACACACTGTACAACAAACATGACGCCTTTCTAGAATAGACCTAACATTCAACGGCGCCAGCTTTTCTTCAAGAGTCACAGAAAAGAGTGTGATTGCATGACTTTGGAATCGCACTCGTCTGTCTGTGGAAAATCACCTTGGTGAGAATTGAAACAAGCTCATGATTTTGTTTGAGGATCGCGAGAACATGGAAGTACTATTTTTCTGCTGTGTCGACATCTACCTATCCTACAATCTCACGTCCGCCATCTTAGAACAAATTTGAGTTGATCAGAAGCCTGCGGTCCTGACCAAGGCCATAACCCAGTATCAATGCGTAAATGGCGCGCGGTTTGGGCGAGTCGTTCTCCAAATGTCCGTTCCAAGTACACCTCACTGCGGCATAAGCAGGCTTGACCCGCAATACTAGTAGGCATAACGGTAATAATCCAATTATCATAAGGCATGGAGGCTTCCATCACGCGGTCAACGCGGTGCTGCAGGTCATACCAGGCTGCGATAACCCGACATGAGTTGCATCTACGTGATCCCTGCGTTATACCACCTTGAAGTGTTGGGGGGAAGAGGTTCATTGCTTGGTTCGAGCGTGGGAACGGTATGCCAGGAAAACGACAGCGAAAGTCGCAATCTGGGTAGACCAATTTTGTTCGACAGGCTGGACAGACTGGATCGGGCCTTGGGTACACATTAGTTGGCAGGAAGTCTTCAAGACCGTAATCTGAGTAATAGATTGTGAACAGACAACCTTTACAAAATATGTGAGCGCACGGCAGGACGATGGCGTCCTTGGGTGAACGTGGGTGCACATTCGCAAAATTTTCATGGCCATGAATTGCATGCAAACGACTGACTCCATCGGAACCAGTATCCTCTGAGGAAGGTAGTCCGTCTCCAACAAGATTCATAGGCTCTCTGCAGATTGCGCACTCAAGTGTCAGTCCGTTCCACAAGCTGGGGTTTGCCGTTAAAGTCCTTCTGAGTGATTCGAAATACATTGACGATGGAGCAATGGGGTGGTTTGACGACATGATGGAGGTGAACTTGTATTGCAAAGAATGAGATCGGTTGAGGCCTGAATGCAATTATTTCTGGTATATGTCGTTGTTGAAGTCAAATCACGTATCCTGTAGACTCGGATCCCGACCGAAATATGTAGTTGACGATGCTTTTGAATAAGTTTGTTCAAAAAAGAAATAAGAGGTCGAGGCACAATTTCCAAACTATCGATTGTCAAGCACCTCAGGTATCCGAGACAAAGCTCGAGGACAAGAGCTCTACTCAATAACTCAATTCGACCATTAAAAGAATCATTTCTTTTACCAAAAAAACAATTGCATTCTTCAATTGAGTAAACAATGAAAAGAAATCGAAGAAAATCAAGAATAGGTCGTGATCA